TTCTTTTGAATCAATATTGGCTGCAAGGAAAGTTACTGGATTTGGGATCAACAAGTGGCAGCTCATTAAATTTTGCTAAGAATCACTGTGAAGGCTTTTACCAGGGAGCTTTCCCCGGGGGGAGTCCAAAGCCTCACGTTGACCGGGACCCACCGAGCAACGGGATGGCTGACGATGTCATTGGGGAAGAAGAAGAGAGACCGGTCCCTCCTCCGTTGGAAGTGAAGGTGATAACCCAGGAGGATCTGGTGCAATCATCGCGCCAAGCCCGAGCGGGGGCAAAGGCCACGGCGACGAAGGGAAGAGGCCCTTCGATGAAAGATCGCATGGGGAAATTGGAAGGGCAGATGGGGTCCCTATCCGATGATATGCGAGCGCTAAAGGCAGTGGTGGATCAGCTGTTTGGAGGGGGAATTACGCTCCCTATGCGAGAGTCAGCGGCTACACCGGGAGGAACGGAGGCAGCAGAGCAATCAGCCGAAGGTGAGACCTCCAGCGAGGAAGAGGAGGATCTCGCACCTAGCAGAACCAAGAAGAGCCCGATGCAGCAGCGGGGCATCTCCATGAAATTCAGGGGAGATGCTGAGCAGCTGGCGTGCTTTATCACCCAGGTTCGGATCTACATGGAGGGCTATGGGGGTTTGTTCCGCAGCGAGGAGGAGGAGGTCTCCTATGTGTCCAGTTTTTTTGAAGGTACGGCTGCAGAATGGGTGGTTGGCCTGCACAGGGCGAAGGACCGGGGTTTAAGGAGATTAGAGGATTTCATGGCAGGTCTCTGTGCGTGCTTTGAAGACCCGTGCGTGGTGCTAAAAGCATGACATGACCTGGAAAGGCTGAAGCAGGGGTCCAAGTCGGTATCCGAGTTCGCCTATGAATTTCGGGGGTTGGCTCAGAGGCTGCCTAACATGCCTGAAGAGCTCCTGCTTGAGTTCTTCCAGAGGGGCTTACAACCTGAATTGTTGCAGCGCGTGCTGTGCCAGGGTTTCCCCAAAACCTTTAATGGATGGGTCGCTATGGCCGGCGAAGTGGAGGAGCAATGGCGCACCATAGAAGCAAGAACCCGACTTCCGCCCTTACCCGGGACAAAGAAGGCGGCGCCCAAGATGAAGACCAGTGCGCCGGAAAGTAGCAGGAGCCGTCGCATCTGTTTCAACTGCGGGGAGCTGGGGCACTTTGCCGCTGTGTGCCCTAAAGCGAAGACGGAGCAAGGAGGCAAGAAGACGGAGCGGAAGGGACCAAAGTCTTCGAAGCCCAGCAAGAAGGAGTCAGTGGTGGTAGGCAGCAAGGCGGGAGCTAGAGCGGCAACACATGGCGGAGGGAAAACCCGGAAGTTGTTAGCTC